CGGTGTGATTACTCTTTGTCACCAAACAAACCAAAAAATTTCAGTTTCACATTCTCATATTATGCTTATAGCTTACGCATGCGCGCCCTGTTTAGGTTTCCCGATGTTTGGATCATTTATTCTTGTGGATGGGCGAAAACGCTACGTGTGGACCAAAAAAGAAAAAGAAAGAAAAAAAAAAAAGAAATTTAGCCAAACATTTTTTTCAGTGGTCGAATGGCAGGAAACATTAAATTTAGATTTGCTCAATGAATCAATAGATATAATTTTTAACCAAACCACTCGGTTGATGCCAAAGTGTCTGAGTTCATGATTACTGACACTGTATGATTTTTTATCATTATTATTCTCTGAGAAAGTGTATAATTCCTAATTGTTATTTAAATTTGACGTTTCCCATCTCAATTTACTCGTGGGTGGCATAAATGGTTTGGATGAATTCTCAAAATACAATTAAGTCGCGAATAAAAGTCTCGCACGATTACACAGATTGAGATACGTGCACTTTAATGACTGCTGTACGTCCGCTCGCACATCGTGCTGAGAATTGTCAATGGCGAAAAGCTGAATTCAAAAGTTTGTCTCAAAAAGAACGTTTTTCGTTTTATACARGAATTGGTTAAAACTTAGAAACTAAGAAAAAAGGAAAATGAAAAAAAAGTTACCTTGTCTGCAGCAGTACTTTAATACATGTAAATTTAAGTTGTTTGATTCATTTCACTTGAAATAATGAATGAACTACCTCTTCAGTGCTGTTCACATTCAGTAGTGCACGCACAAAGCATTCTGCTTGAAATAAATAGACAAAAAGCACACACACACACAAAAACAAAACCATTCCCGTCAGCGTAGGCGAAAATATATAGACTTTTCGAAGACTAATACTAGGACAAGATCGAAATATTCTACCTATCTACATTCTTTATCAGAAGAGATAACTAGCTAAAATTACAGGTAAGTTATACGCCGCGAAAAGATGAAAAAACTTACTGACGTTTCGGACGCGAGTCCTTCGTCGGAGTAAAAGAGCATCATAAGTAAATAGCATCTGGTCTCAGCTATGACGCATCATTTTCGTGCCGACTCGGGTCATGTTTTTTATTTCATTTTATTTTATTTATTGCCAGATTCAGTTTAAAATAACAACGACAAATTACAAAAATATCAACATTAACCAAGAGAAAAACTTTTCACAAAGATAAACTAGAGACAAAAAAAAAAAAAAAAAAAAAAAAAAAAAAAAAAAAATTCCCGAAATTATTATGATATTGAAAAGCAAGTATAAAAAAGTCAAGAACAATTACTATATGGTAAACACCATTAGGAAGCTGACATCGATAGTCCTGATACAGAAATAAATCGCATTAAGCAAACAGAAAAGATGTCATCATAGGCAGGTGCAATGGGGAAAGTTTCATTTACGTGGGAACGACCTCAATATCAATTAGTTTCCGCTAAAACAAAATAGATTTCTTTAACCCTAATGACTTGAAAACAGCTTTACGTGATGTATTACTGCAAACTAACACTTCCTCAACCAAATCAGATGGCGAAAACAATTATAGTGCCTGCCAAATGATTAAAAAAAACTGTGCGCACCAGGTTTGATTGATCTTTCTGGTGTTCAAATAAAAAATCATATCAGGACCTGGATTGTACAGAAAAGCTACTATGAATCAAAAATGAGTGGGTGCATTTGGGGGGGGGGGGGGGGGGAGTAGGCGGTTGTGTTGTGAGTTAATATGCAAGATAGATATACTGTATATGCAATGCTGATCAGTATAATTTCTATTGGTCGTTCGGGTTCGGCTTTTTAAGGAAACGCGTAGGTGGGTGTTAATGACATCTTGCAATTGATTCGTAAGAAGCTTTCAAGCAAATAGTACTTGTTTTGAAATGTCGATCAGTCGCTTGTTTTTTTTTACCCATGGTTTTCTGGCGTCTCACAACTAGATGTCTGTCAGTTTGGTTAACACTTTTACAACTTTGACTGTCTTACTCATTGACATACTGTCCTGCCAGCTTCTAAGTCACTTGGTTACGGCTAGAAACACACTAACACTGAGACTTTCTAGTCTAAGGCCCCGTCTACACGTATCCGGAAATTTTTGTATCCGCAAATTTTTTTTTTTGCGGATACGAAAATGTTTGCGTCCACACGCATCGTATTCGAATCGTTTTCACCTTCCACACGTATCCGTTTTCGTAAAATTTTGCGGATACAAAAATTCTCGGATATGTGTGGACGGGGCCTAATAGTTAATTTAATACCTGATAATCTGACGAACTACTAGCCTCCTCTCTGTATAATATATATCCCAAAGATTAACAACTGCCACCT